ATTTAGCATAGACGGCCAGAATTGCCTCAGACATACTCTGTCTTCTGTGTCATTCAGCATTGTAAAACTGCATTTTATCCTGTTTCATATATTTCCTACTAAAACACTGTATACTGGAAAGAAGAGAGACATAAAAGGGAAAGGTAAACCCTTTTACCCTTTTCGACACAATACTTTACCACAGTGCAATATGACTTTTATGATTTATTTGTTTCAAACATTAAGCAATGATCATTAAGAAAATTCATTATGCATGGCATATGCTCCCCTTAATATTACAAGAGATGTGTTTGTGCATGATGTAATATGATTTTTTTCTGTAAATTATTTTGGTGATCCATATTTCTAAGTTTATCACATATAAGTGTTTATTAGTTAATCTTTAAAAACAGAGGTTGTGGAAGACCTGGGGACATCCAGTGAAGAGCGTCAACAGAGGCTTCTCTTGGCTGCACATAACCTTGTTCGCTGTACAGGAACCCTCATCCCTGTTGTCAACCACTTCCTCACAGAATTTTTAACTAAATGGGATGAATCAAACCACTTCAAACAAGTAAGATCTTACAAAACTCTGCAAAGTTTTGAATACAACCACTTCTGCCATACTGATTTATAATGGGTATTCTAATGTGTTTCAGGTCATCTCCCTCCTGGAAACTACAACCTTCACTTCCCCTGAATTCATCTCTGAGACTTTCTTAAGGACAGTTGCCAGACTCCTAAGTGGTGATTCTCTGGTAACTTGGTGTTTGGTTGTTGCTGCCATTGCTAAGACAGCCTGTGCATGGGCAATAGTTGCTCAGGAGGAAGACCAACAAAAAGAGAGTATGTAGTTTATAAACAATATGCAGCATGCTTGTTTGATGAATATTGTTCCTGTTTCTCCCTCTCCATCCATTTTGTCATCTTCCATTTCCCTCTGTTTTCATTGTATAAACTGGATAGATAAAGGCAGAATTTCTTTTGAAGTTTTAAAATCTAATAGTCATTAAATTTCACCATTTCAAAAGCATTAAACACTTGAAGAATTAAATATTCATAATGTATGTGGCATTATAAGGGGATCATGATTGGCCTAAAATACAAAATGTGGATAACATATACCTTTCCCAATCTTACACACAAAAGTAATAACTAGCTAAATGTGTTCCATTTAATAGTGCCATTAAAAAAAAAAGTATCCATTATCCATTCTAGGAAAACCCTATCATGACTGGCCTCAGGAAGTGGTGAGCTGCAATACAATTGTAGGACTGTGGTTTCTTATGGTACGAATGGAGCGTTTCTTTCTCTCTGCTCTTCTGGACTTCAAATACCATCCAATGGTCTTGCATCAGATTTTGGATTTTTATGTCAAGGTAAAGAAAAAGTATATTGCATACATAGAAAAATAAAGTGTATTATATCCACATGCATGTTTTTTTTTTAATATTTATTATATAAATGTATCTAGGACTTCTTTCAACTGTTAGAGATTTAATGCTTTCTAAGACAAAACTTTGGAGCTATATAGTACAATATTTGCTGTCCCTACAATACTGAGCTGCATATCAGTTACTTTACTGAAAAATTATTCTTGTATCACTATATTTTGAAATATCTGTTTTCTCAAATGTGAAATATTTTTTGTTTATTTACCTTTTCAACATGTAGGTAAATATGTACACTGAAGTCCTAGAGCTTCCAGCCTTCTTTGCACCTCCTGCTCTGCTGACTCTGGTCATCCTTGTACAAGGTGACATTTCCAGCACTCATCGCCTTGGTGGTCTCCTAGCAAGGTAGGGTAGTCAGTTGGGGCAGTTTATGACAGATTGTATATCCCAAGGGTCCTGGGGATGGCTATTACTTGCTATTCTGTCATGCTGATTTAGAAGAGGTGACAATGTGGAGGTCTAATAGAGTAGACATAATTAGTTATATGCCAATTGTAGTTTTGCAAGCCATTTGTTCTACAAGAGTTTTTTCATTATTGTCTTCATATGGAAGCTGAGTACAATCTCTGCATAGAGAATAATATTAATCAGCTAGTAAACCTGCTTCATATCCTCCCCAATCACATGCCTGTTGTTGTGGGGGAGTTTACGAGATAGAGACTGAGGCCCAGCGTTGGATGTCAGCCCTCATCTTAACTAATTTTGCATAGTTCCCCACCTTTCTTTTTCCTTCTCTTCTTCATCTCATTCTGTCCACATCCTAAAGTGGGAGAGCTGTGCTTAAAAGATGAAAGGTTAGCCTTGTGTAAGTCTTGAATGGCCCTCATACTCTGTTTGCTCTTCCCTCCTTGCTATTTTCACTATCATACTAACCTACAGAACTCTACAACTTTTGACATCTAACATGTTTTGTCCTAATTGTTAATTCTTTTTTTTACCTTTTGCCTCAATACTTTGTCAAAATGTTGCATGACCATTTTTTTACCTGGGGGCTTTGCCCCCAAACCTTGCCCTAGTGCTATATTTTGTATACACCGCTAATGACGTTAGATGTTGATGTGGTAGAAATTTTTTAATAAATGATTAAATCAACCCTTGGCTCAAGCAATTTTGCATGATTTTTTCTTCTCTCCTTTTCCTTTTACTTCTCTTTTCCAACCTATTCTGTCCACTTGCTTACATGTGATTCCCATATTGAAAGGATAAAAGGCTGGCTTTGTGTCAGTCCTTAACAGCTTCAGGGAACCATGGTAATGGTATTTTCCTGTTTAGTTATCTAGCCCTTACCCGTCATGGGAACCCTGAGGGGTGAATCATTCTCTTTTCCACATACTCCAGGCTTACCATGGCTAATAATGATTTTGTACCTTTATTATGGGCATTGAGGCTTTGAGCCTTTCTCAACTAGCCCCACTTATAGTAACTTCTCCAGTTTCCTGACCCCTGTCTTTCCTTTGATAACAATTCTGAACGTTGCGACTACTATCCAATCTTCAATAGTTGCTGTCTGCTACTGTCTGATAGAAGCCTCATAACTTTTGCAATATATTACTGATTTCAGAAATTACAATAATTGCCATATATTAATGACTCATCTCCATATATATTCTTTAATAACTTTTATTTTGCTCATTATATATATATATATATATATATATATATATATATATATATATATATATATATATATATATATATATATATATATATAGTTTGAGTCTATGATAGCAGTCCTCAGATTCAAACTAGGCCTTACTTTACGCAAGGTCAGGAAGCACCCTGATGAGGTTTTTCTCGTGCTCTGTACTCCTTTGCTGTCTTTCACTTTGCTCCTTCCCCTTTTCCCCAAGACTTTTCTACATCTTCCACAGTATTTCTTCCTCCTCCTCCTTATGGTCCCACTTCTACTCCCTCTTCCACTCAAAGTCTTTGTCATTTTAAACCAGACACTCCAATCTATACTTCCCTGGTGCCTACCCCTCCTCTTTCTTGCTCTACCCTTTGCGTCAGACAATCTAAATGTTTCACCCTATTGACTCCTACACCTACCTCTTCCTCTGTCCTTCCTTCTACACCTCATAAGAAAACTTTAGTTTCTCAGACTTCCCCAACCAATTCCCTTTCAAAAACTCTTGAGGACTTTCAAAACTCTCTAATCATGATCCAAACTGATATACCTTTACCTTATCTAGCCTCCAATCTCTCTGCTCCCATTCCTTTTACCCTCAAAAAGACTGCCATCACCCATCCTCCTACTCATGTTCCCTAAAAACTTTTTCCCACCCTCCCAACACACCTCATCCCCCACCCCCTACTTCATCTGCACCCCCCCCTCCCTCTTCTCTGTTATCCTTCCAATCCCCCATGGATACACATGACTCTTTTTGGTCACAATAACACCCTTCCCCAGAATTCTCCCTCTCCTGATTTTCTTCCTAAAACTGCGCTTTGATCTAATTACCCTTACCCCTTATCTCTTTCCCCTTTTCCTAATGCCTGCCTTACCTCTTCCGTCCTACCTTACCCCATAGACATCCTTGCAGAATCCCACACTTTTACCTTCCTCAGATTATACATATCCTCTTCTTGATCTAATCTCCCTTTCGATAATCCCTAATCTTTACCCTTTTTCAATACTATACTATTCTAACTGCTGTATAACTTTCAACATATAGCACATTTAATCATCAACTCGTTCCCTTCTTTACCCTTTTTACTATGACACTATAATCCTTTATGACCATTGATGTCTTTATTTTGCTTTGTAACTATTAACCAATAATCACCTGCTTCATGAAGGATATCATGAAGGAAGAAACCATTTAAGACCTCATGAGTGAGGGAGCTTGAGACAAAAAAAAATAGTCATGAAAACAACCAGGTTGTGCAACGTAAGTTTCAAAATACCTGCATCTGACTTTTCTCTTTAGCCAGTATTGTGCATGCCTTATCTGAGTCAAGTGTGGGAGTAATGCCATTTAGGCTTATAAAATAATATGCATTTTTGAATATCACAAAAAATGTTTTGAAGCCAGCCCAGGGAGCATCATTGTAATGAAACCAAAATGGTAAGCTGAGTGGCAGGAGCTGGCACTAGGACAGGACCAGTGCTGAGTCTGGCTAGTATAACCTGAGCTTAAAAGCATTATCCACGTCTGTCCTCTTTATAGAAGCCCAATATATGTCCCCAGAATGAAGGTTTGGGTGGAACGAGTCCAAGAGGACAAACGTACAGGATCAGAAGAGGACATCAGGCAAGAATGTCTTAGCTTGGCTGACGTTGCCAACCAGTCAATTCTGTTCTTCTCCTCAGCACTGCATTCTTCAAAGGTATGGAGCTACATTCTTTGAATTGTGTTAGAGTTATGGAATATATGAGTAAAATATTAGATGATGGAATGTATAGTCATCTAAGTAGAACAAAGTACAATATTTTCACTTTATACATACTAAAAATCTTGTTGATCTATGCAAGACATTCTTTTTTGGTTTGCTTTCAGTTAAAGACAGTTTTAGTCTGGGATTGGTATATATTTATGAAGACTAATTTTTACATAGGAAGGAAAA